TCTGGCAGTATCTGTGGAGAGAAATCAGAGTTAATGCTCTGGGTCCAATGACCCTTCCTCAGAAGGAACATTAACTGATTTTCTCCACAGATACTGCCAGACCAGCTGAGATTTTCCAGTGATTTCTGTTTTTGTACCAATTTATCTTGTTTGAATCAGAGGTTTTATATTGTTACACTGAATAAGAATAGGATGCTGTAATTCCTTGTTAGATTCCACAGTTGACTGTTTTCATTGACTAAACTGAGGATATCGGAATATGACTTTTACAACTTGTTACGGCCTTGATTCATTAACTTAATTAGCATACATTAATAGCAAAACATTTGAAGACTTACTTTTACTGTTACTGATACTAAGATTGGTGGAGTAGCAGATAGTGAAGGGGACTGTTGGAGAATGCAGCAGAATATAGGTAGATTGGAGAGTTGGACGGAGAAATGGAGATGGAGTTCAATCCAGGCAAATGCAAGGTGATGCATTTTGGAAGATCCAATTCAAGAGCGAACTATACAGTAAATGGAAAAGCCCTGGGGAAAATTGATACACAGCGAGATCTGGGTGTTTAGGTCCATTGTACCCTGAAGGTGGCAACGCAGGTCGATAGAGTGGTCAAGAAGGTATACGGCATGCTTTCATTCATCGGACGGGGTATTGAGTACAAGAGTTGGCAGGTCATGTTGCAGTTGTATAGGACTTTGGTTCGACCACATTTGGAATACTGCGTACGGTTCTCGTCGCCACATTACCAAAAGGATGTGGATGCTTTGGAGAGGGTGCAGAGGAGGTTCACCAGGATGTTGCCTGGTATGGAGGGCGCTAGCTATGAAGAGAGGTTGAGTAGATTAGGATTATTTACATTAGAAAGACGGAGGTTGAGGGGGGACCTGATTGCGGTCTACAAAATCATGACGGGTATAGACAGGGTGGATAGCAAGAAGCTTTTTCCCCAGAGTGGGGGACTGCATTACTCGGGGTCACAATTTCAAGGTGAGAGGGGAAAAGTTTAAGGGAGATATGCGTGGAAAGTTCTTTACGCAGAGGGTGGTGGGTGCCTGGAATGCGTTGCCAGCGGAGGTGGTAGAGGCGGGCATGATAGCGTCATTAAAGATGTATCTGGACAGATACATGAATGGGCATATAGATCCTTGGAAAATAGGCAACAGGTTTAGATAGAGGATCTGGATCGGCGCAGGCTTGGAGGGCTGAAGTTCCTGTTCCTGTGCTGTAATTTTCTTTGTTCTTTGTTCTTTGTACTGCTTATTAATTGAAATTCTCAGAAACTTGAGCTTGACATTTGACCTATGGTACACAAAATGCCGTCTGTATAAATGAAACATTGCAATTATCATTGACCTCAATTCACATGCAAACTTTCAAATATGACAAGTGAATCTTAGTATCTGAAATGTTGTGATTCTTAGTTATTATGTAACATGTGATTCTTAGTTATTATGTAACATGTGAACATGGAACAGTTAAATCTTGTCAATGTGTATCTGAAAAATTTCACATGGGGGTTAACGTAAAGAGAAATCCCAGAAGGAGTATATCATCATTAAAGGATGACGGGAAAGTTTGGAAGATAAAAGAAGTGATTCTTACATGTGGTTCATAAACAGAAACATTTAGTGGTAATTGATTTTGAGGCTAATAGGTGAATTTCAGTCTTATCAGTTTGTTTTTCAAGTATATCTGTATATATCAGCATAATTTACTTTAGAGCTTGGATTCTGAACCAGTGGCATGTGACTTTTAGTCTGTGTATATGAAGGGATTTAATTGTTAACCTGTCAGTCTTTCTGGAGTCAGTATGTGTGAGAGAGCAGTTCTTGGAGTGATAATTGGAATTTGTTAGCATTGTTAGTTTTACAATTGAAGAGGGCAAACATTGAAAAGTATTAGCTTGTATTTGGATTAGAAGAATCAGAAATTGATTTTCTTTGCTTAGGGAAAGCTTTTGGCATCAGTTTGCAGAAGACCGAGATGAGGTTAGATCTAAGATCAGTTCTTCTTGGGAAAGGAGCAAGTTCAGAATAATTAGGAAGTAGTTTACCTATGGTATGGGTTTTAGTTTGAAAATTCAGCCTATCTTAGGTTATCAATTAGTAAAGCTAACACACAGGCGCAGCAAGTAATCAGCAAGGCTAATGGGATGCTGGCCCTTTATTTCAAGGGGTTTGGAGTATCAGAGTAGGGATGTCTTACTATCATTGTACAAGGTGCTGACGACACCACGTCTGGAGTACTGGGCGCAATTTTGGTCCCCTTATTTCAGGAAAAGTATCATTTCATTTGAAGCAGTTCAAAGAAGGTTCACTAGAGAGAGAGTAGGGCTCCTTAAAGTCAACAAGATCATCTTTGTGTTGAACCTCAGAAGATGGGAGAGATATTGACTGAAGATTTTGCTTCAGTTTTTACTGTGAAGAAAGAAATCGAGGCTAGACAACTCAGGGAAATAAATATTGATGGTTTGAAAACAGTTCACATTTCAGAAGAGGAAGCGCTGGAGGTCTTAGAGAACGTAAAGGTGGTTAAATCTCCGGGACCTGATTAAGTGGATCCCAGGACATTCTGGGAAGTTAGGGAGGAATTTGCAGGACCACTAGCAGAACTATTTGGTATTATCTATAACCATTGGTGAGGTGCCAGAGGACTGGAAGGTGGCTAATGTTGTGCCATTATTTAAGAAAGGCTGTGAGGGGAAGCCTGGAAACAACAGACCACATTAGTGGTGGGTAAGTTGTTGGAGGTGATGATGAAAGAGTGAATTTTCATGCTTTGCGAGAGGCGAGGAACGATTCGGGATAGTCAGAATGGTTTTGTGTGAAGGAAATCGTGTCTCACAAACTTGAATGAGTTTTTTGAAGAAATGACCAAAAAGATTGGTGAGGGAAGAGCGGTAGACATTGTTTATTTGGATTTTTGATAAGGTTCCACAGGATTGACTAATTAGTAAAGTTAGATCAATTGGGAATCAGGGTGAGCTTGCTAATTGGATACAAAATTGGCTTTACGGCAGGAGACAGAGGGTGGTGGTGGAGAGTTGTTTTTTGGAATGGAAGCCTGCGACCAACAGTGTCCCACAGGATCGGTACTGGGTCCACTTTAGTCATTTCTATTTGGATGAGAATATAGAAGAGATGGTTAATAAATTTGCAGATGTCAGTGGTATAGTGGACAGTGAAAAAGGTTAACTAAGATTACAAAGAGACATTGATCAATTGGGTCAATAAGCTGAGGAGTGGTAGATGGAGTTAAATCTGGATAAATGAGAGATATTGCATTCTAGTAAAACAAACAAGGGCAAGACTTATACAATTCACGGTTGGGCCCTGGGTAGTGTTGTAGAACAAAGAGATCTAAGGGTTCAGGTGCATAATTCGTTGAAATTTGCATCACAGGTAGATAGGGTGGTTAAGAAGGTGCTTAGCACGATTGCCTTCATTGCTCAGATCTTTGAGTATGGGAGTTGGGACATCATGCTGAGGTTGTACAAGATGTTGGTGAGGCATCTTCTGGAATACAGTGTGCAGTTCTGGTCATCCTGTTATAGGAAGGATGTTATTAAACTGGAGAGGGTTCAGAAAAGATTTTCCAGGATGTTCCAGGAATGGAGGATTTGAGTTATAAAATTAGGCTGGGTCGGCTGGAACTTTGTTCACTGGAACATAGGAGGTTGAGGGGTAACCTTATAGAAGTTTATAAGATCATGAGGGGCATAGATAAGGTGAATAGCAAACGTCTTTTCTATAAGGTGGGAGAGTTCAAAACTGGGCATATTTTTAAGGTGAGAGGAGTAAGATTTAAAAAGGAATAATGAGGGGTATAGACAGAGTTAATGTTCGTTGTCTTTTCCCTAAGCTGGGGGATTTCAAGACCAGGAGGCACATTTTTAAGGTGAGAGGAGAAAGATTTAAAAAAGACATGAGGGACAATTTTTTTACATAGAGGGTGGTTTGTGTGTCGAATGAACTTCCTGAGGAAGTGGTGAATGTGGGTACAACACAATGTTTAAAAGACATTTGGATAAATACATTAATAGCAAAGGTTTGGAGGGACATGGACCAGGAACAGGCAGATGGGACTAGTTTAGTTTGGGATTATATTTGGCATGGACTAGTTGGCCCAAAGGGTCTGTTTCCATTCTCTATGACTCTATGACATGAGAGCAACTTTTTACACAGAGAGTGGTTAGTGTTTGGAATAAACTGCCAGAGGAAGTGGTGGAAGCTGGTGCGGTTAGAACATTAAAAAAAATTTGGATAAGGAAAGGTTTGGAGGGATGTGGGTAAAATGCAGGCAGGTGGGACTAGTTTAGTTTGGGAACATGGTCAACACAGACTAGTTGGATCTGCTTCCATGCTGTATGACTCTAAGGCTAGGATGACCCCTGATATGGAGGGATTGTCTGATGACAAAGGCTAAACAGGTTAGGATTCTACTCACTGGAGTTTAGAAGAATGAGAGATGATTTCATCAAATCATACAGGATTATTAGGGAGCTTGACAGGGTAAATTCTGGGAGGATGTTTCCCCTCATGAGGGAATCTAAGACCAGAGGGCATAGTCTCAGAATGTAGAAGTACTAAGTTAACACTGAGATGAGGAGGAATTTCTTCTCTCAGACGGTTGTGAATATTTGGAATTTTTTTGCCACAGAGAGCTATAGGAAGCAGAGTCCTAGTGTATATTTGAGGTTGAGATAGACCAATTCTGATCATTAGGGGTATCTAGAGTTATTGGGAAAATGCAGGAAAATGGACGTGATGAATGTTCAATCAGCCATGATCCTATTGAATGCCAGAGCAAGTTTAGGGGGCTGAATGGCCCACTTCTGTTCCTAATTCTTATGGTCTAATGGTTTTTACAAATACAAAAATGCACTTTAACTGCACTACCTGTTTAAGTTGCATATTGTGGTGAATGTGAAAGGAAATTGAGATCATTTCATGACAAATTTTTGGGTAAATAATGTATTCCTTTTATGTTTGTTGCAGGTCATTTGTCATCCAACAGATTCCAAGCAGTAACCTCTTCATGGTTGTTGTAGACGCCAGCTGTGATTGCCCTATTGGACCAATTACAATGGACCCTATAGAAATAATGTATATCCTTTAATATATTTGATTGGGTTTATCTGTTTTTAGAAAGCATTTAATTTTATGAATGAATACTTTCCAACCAGCAAAAGCAGCAAAGCAGGTGTATTATAAGAACATCTCAAAATAATATCTATCTATTTATAGGGCATAATGTGTGTGTAATTTGGCAGCAGCCACACTGTTATGTAGTTACTTTGGAAGTCTCCCAAGCAGGTATGGTTCTGTCCTTGATTTGTTCATGTCAATTTATTTAATTCCGTTTATGTTTAGTTTGAGTAATATGTTTTCCTAATGTGCTCGGTTTAGAAATTTGAAAATCACTATAGTGTAAATTTTCCTCTATCTCTGCCTCAGACTATTGAATGATCTGGCTGCAGTGAATGATATCTAGGCTTTCTAGGATGTGGCTGGGAGTTTGTTCCATTACATTTCTTGTGCTGCATCCTCCATAACCATTCCCAGGTATGGCTTGCATGACCAGCAGGACACCAGTGGTGCAATAATATGCAGTCAGAAGGATGTAGTCCTGGAATCCTCAGCATTGACTCCAGACTAAGGCTCATTATTAGATCAAACATGGGCAAGAAAATCTTCTGCTATTGGCATCCCTCACCTGATGTATCAGTGCTCCATGTTGAATACCACTTGGAAGAGGCAGAGAACATAGCAAGAGCACAAACTATACCGAATAGTTAAGGCATTTAAATGCCCCTCATCAAGTGTGGCTTTGTAGCAGCACTACTGACTGAGCTCGCTGAGACCTGCTGGACATATCTGTCAGCCTAGGACTAATGATGAGAAAACCAACACGCGCTGTAAAAACTACTTGACCTCATCAGTACCAATGTATCTGTTGCAAATGCATCTGCACTTGACAATATTGATAGGAATGACATTATGGAGACGAGGCACTATGTTATGGACCAGAACAGATCTCCTAACGTTTATTCAGAAGATAGCCTAGACCCTAACTTTTATATTTTTTAAAAGGGAAGTGTGATGTGCTGTGTTCCAGATTTAATTCAATTGGTCCACCACTAAGCTTCAATCAAAGTACACTTTAGTCTTACAACACAGTTAGAATACAACAAAGGAAGAATTGGCATAACTTTACTCCATTGAAATACTTAACAATTTGATATATTATTTAACCATTAATCATCAACTGTTCCAATATAGGCAGCATCCCATAAACACACCCTTGACAAAAACACAATTCAGCAAAACAGCTAGCAAATAACTGAAAGCAAAACTAAGAGTCTCCCTGGGTCTGTGTGAGCCCTGACCCCACCCACTCATAATTATTCCATCTCAATTTTGTAAAAAACATCCAGGGAGAACTTACTCAAAGTTCTCCCTGTCTGAAGGAGACATTTCTGCACCTTGGTGACAATACCCCTCTTATAGAGAAACAGGACAGAACACATCTGTTAAATGCACAGTACTGTCACACTGACTTCACATTGCGGTTACTGTCCATTGTGCTGTATGCACTTACCAGAATGCCAAATAGGATAGATTTCGAACAGGTCTCATAGTTCAAAATTGAACATCCAATTGGCACTTAAACAGGCCAGCAGAATTGTAATCCACCACAATCTTTGGCCTCATGGCCTATCCTGTCACTCATTCTATCATTACCATAAAGCTAAGCAAACAATACTGGTTCAGTGAAAAATGTAGGAGAGCATAAGCAGCTTAGGAGTAAATGTGTTAAACAGCAGAAGCGACGTGCTATAGAATTAGCTGATCCATCACTTAGCTCAAAGCTCTGTTGTGAAAAGTGATGGATTGTTAATCAACTGATTTGAAGAGTGTGTTCCATGAATATCCTCATAATGATGATGAAGCCCAGAAAGTCGATGCAAAAGACAGGGCTGAAGACCTTACAAACATTTTCAACCAGAAATGCCAAGTAGATGATCCATCTCCACCCCTTGATGCTGTCTCAATATCTCAGAAATCAGTCTTCAGCCAATTTGACTCACTCCACATGCGATCAAGAAAAATCAAGCACACTTGATACAGAGGTCTGGATACAGACTTCTTCTGGATCTGTCCTGTCCCGCCAGCGGAACAGGACATAGCTGAAGATGAAAATTGTGATAAAAACCAAAAGAACTGCGGATGCTGTAAATCAGGAACAAAAGTAAAGTTGCTGGAAAAGCTCAGCAGGTCTGGCAGCATCTGTGAAGGAGAAAAAGTTTCGGGTCCAGTGACCCTTCCTCAATGAAAATTGTGATGTCCGGGACGTTGTCTTTAAAGTGTATGACTATATGACCAATTTGTGGGACAGCTCTCCCAATTTAACCAAGCGGCCAAATGATAAGAAGGATTTCGCAGGTAGCAGCAGCCACAATATGATTGAATTTTCATCTGGTTTTAGAGGGAAAAGAATGGGTCTCAGATATTACTTTAAACTTATAAAGAGCAACTGAGCAGGTAAGAAATCAGAGCAAGATGAAGGAAATTGGGATACTAGATTAGGAGATAAATTGTAGAGAAATATTTAAGGAGGTATTTCAAAACATTCCTGCTATAAAGAAAAGTTCTAAGAAGTTGACCCATCTGCCATCATTATTTAAAGAAGTTAAGGAAAAGATCAAACAGGAGGAAGAAAAAACATATAAATGTGTAAAGATGAGTAACAGATCAACTGATTGGTCAGAAAATTAAAAATGGCAGAGAATGACTAAAATGTAAATCAGGAGAAAGAAATTAAAATATGAAAGAAAGCCGGTGAGAAATGTAAAAATGGATAGCAAGGGTTTCTACAAGTACCTAAAAAGGAAAAGTGAGTTTTGGTCAATTAGAGAATGAAAATAGTGAAATGATAATCACTAGGAAATTGGTACTGAGCAAACTGATGGAGCTGCTGGGCTGACAAGTTGGGTCCTGATGGACTTCATCCTAGGGTCTTAAAAGAGGTGGCTGATGAAGTAGTAAATGTGTTGGTATTAACTTCCTAAAACTTACTAGATTCTGGAAAGGTTCCATTACACTGGAAAGTAGCAAATATTTCTCCACTATTTAGAATTAACTGTGAGATTAGAGTAACAAACAGGCCAAAATAGGAAGTTTCCTTCCCTTACTGTTCGTAAACCTGTTAGGTTTTTGGAATACTTCAGTTGCCTTGTAGTCACTTTCTTAATGTTAACACCTTAATTTCTAGATTTTATTTTAAAAAATGCAAACTCTCAAACTGTATAATAGAAGGTTAATTCATTTTCTTTATTTTAATCATCCAGGCATCTGAATTACGAGCCTAGTAACATGACCTCTACATCACAAGTCTGAGTTGCTATTTTAGTATTACAATGACATTCACAAATTGAGAGCTCAGGAGATGCTATATTAATGAGTGTGTCTTCAGTTTCATGAAACATTTCTAAGTTTGAGACCTACTATGATTTTCCAGTCATTTCAGCTGCACTACAATTGAAAGTATGGACTAAAAATGCAATATTTTAAACTGATGCTCCTTAACTGCTGTGAACATAATGAATCACAGAAATGTGATCATCTTAGATCTCAGAAAATCAGAAGACGTCCAGATTCCTGTCATCCATTCCATGCTGAAGTAAGCAACTATACTTAAGGCTGATTAATCAAATTATACAATAGTTATTTTTAGGAAACGGTTAAGCTGTTATTTTCAATGAGTCAGGAATCTGTCTTTTTCTTTCTGTAGGTGCATAATACATTTAAAGGAAGACTTTCTATAATATGAATTAAAATGATTACATATATCTTTTAGCTGCTATCAAACTCCAGTTGTATTCATTATTTAGTTAATGAGCTGAAACTAAAAAAAATGAATTATTTTAATCTCCAAGGTCACTGTGCCTGAATACTTCAATTGTTTACATGGTTGTGAAATCAATGCTGCTGTGTGGCTCAGGTTCTCCTCTTGATGTTACATTTAACATGGTTTACAAAAGGGAAAATCAATGATCAGAGAGTGATAGATCTTTATGGGCAGCTTCCTTTGAAGTCCATATTGAGCACCATTGCCACACCAGTGAATGAAAAATCTGGCCTATTCTAAATGATGAGAACTTTTGTTCTTCAACAAAAGTAATATTTGAGGGCTAGATTTTCACTCCCTGTCAGGCCTGCAGAGTCAGGATAGTTCCTTGCTCCGCAAACCTGCTGTTTGAAAATTGTTGCCCACATTTCTGATCTTCAGTCTGAGGCAGAGGGTGGATTAGAAGTCAGGGTGAGTGACTCCAGTAGAAATGAGAAGGCTGTCAGTTGTGAAGGGGGCTAGCCAAAAGACCCACATCAGGAATCCAGCATTGTTTCCGGTGTGTAAAATTAAAGAAGACAAGATCATTTCACCCTTCACCCTGACCTCCCACATTCCCTGCACACTACCCAAGCCTCATCTATGACGTCCATACCATTTCATGCCCTATACCCACATCCACTTACTCCTCATATCTATGACATGCTATGTCGCTTTACGCGCCCTCCACGTGAACCTTTGCAATCCTGGTGACCACCTACATCCTCTACCCACTCCCCATAGTCTTTTTTTTAATTAATTCATGGCACACGGGTACACTGGCTAGTCCCGCATTTATTTACAATCCCTATTTGCCCTGGAGGACGTGTTGTGTTGCTTTCTTAAATTGCAGCAGTCCATGCATTATAGGTATACACAAGTGCTGTGGGAAGAGACTTCCAATAATTCGTCCCCAGGACAATGAAGGAACAGTTTTATAGTTACACATTAGGGTAGTGTGGCACAGAGGGAAACTTGGAAATCTTTTAACATGCATTTGACTCTTTCCCCAAAACTCTAATCAAATACTTGTTAAAATTTGGAAGACTAATCACTTGGTCTGAATACTGTTCCAAAAAATTTGTCTAAGGATTGATATTTCTCTTACCTCCAGCGCAGTTTCTCTTCAGATCTCCTCCAACTGTCCCACAGGTGTAGCTCCCAGTTCAATACAGGTGTAGCTAATGTCTTGAGTATAACAACCTGAGGCAAAACTCTCTTGGTTCTAATATTCTTTAACTCTGAAGTTCCTTATCTAAAACTCTCTGCCTGTCTTCTCAGCTTGATTATCCCTGAAGTCTAATGTAGTCTCAGGAGTCGTCTATTAACCATAATTAAAATCTTTTACTCAATACACTGAATATTAAATGAACTCTGTCGGACAGAGATGTTCCATACTTTACAACTAGATTGTTGAAAAGCTAAAACTAAAATGTTTTAGAAACTTGCTCAAGATTAGAGACACACCCAGAATCTATTTTCTGCTTAAATTCTTAATTTCTACTTAAATTCTTGTTGACCCTTCGCTCTTTTAATATTTATCTCCCAGGTAACTTGGCCACACGATCATTTACCAGAAGCCAGGTACTTTACCAGAAACCAGCTCATAGAGAATGTTAGTATCAATACCCCAGCACAGGTGTTTTCTCTCTGTACCAAAAAACACACATGTACCCTTACGGTAACAAAAGCATTGTAGGTAGTTTCAGAAGCAGTTAAAAGATTAACACTTAAGAATTAATAGTACAGAGATAGAAACAGGTGATCAATTTTATTTGTTATTAATTTGTGAAAAAATTCCCAAGGTATTTTGTAGAGTTTAACAAGAAGAATACTTACCATACCAATGTAGACGACATTAAGAGGCATGACCAAACGTTTGAGCAGAGATATTAGTTTAGAGAGGTTTTTATAAAGCAAGAAACCCGGAAGACTCAAGGCACAGCCATTATTAATGGAGTAAAGGGAAAAGATATGGACAAAATTTTAATGCTAAAAGAAAAGAGAATTTGGGAGATGGAATTCTAAGATTGAAAAAGGTTACAGTGATTAGAAAGACCCAAACTAGGAAGCAATTTAAATATTTGGATGAGAATTTTAAACTTGATATGTTAGTTGACTCGGAACTAACACAAGTCAGTGAAGTCAAGTGAATGGGATTCAGTATTGAATTGGAGTTAGACAACAGAGTTTTGAATTTGCTGATGTCTGCATATAGTGGAGGACGTTAGGCCAGCCAGTAGATCATTGAAATCATGAGATCTGATGATGATATAGGCATGAAGGAAGGTCTCAGCAGTGAATGATTAAGGTAGATAATTTTGGAGGTGGATGTGCATAACCTTTGACAATGTCTTCACCATCACTGAGACTCAGCACGGCTACAAATAGAACCATAAGTATGAACATTAATATCAACCATTGGTAACAGCAAATTATTGCCTTATGATTATGTCATAATTTTGTCAAAATTTTTGTAACCATAAAAATAAAATTAATAATTTCAGGAAAATGCAAGAGAATGTGGAGGTGCACTTGGTCTAACCCCTTACCTTGCGATTCAACTGCTGCCTCTCACTGTTGCATTGTCTCAGACGTGACAGAAACTCAAGTATTAGAACTTTGGCATGCTGAATGAAGGAAAGAATCATAAACTGAATGTCAACAGTTTAGAGGAAATGCCAAGCAGCGAAAAACTCCTAAATTACACAAAACATTAGAAACCGAAACTTTTCGTGGAACCACAGTGAAGGTAAATGTTAGAGCTGAACTAGGTAAACAATTTGCAACTTATGCAAAATATATACAGGTATTGTCATTATGATAACCATAAACTGTGAGACTAAACCATTCACTTTGCATACATCATTGGTGATTGATTGTTTTGAGCCTTGCCTTATCCTTAAGAGATTGAACTTATTTGTGTACAGTTTTAAATAAACAATCTCTTGAAAACAGCAGGTTTGATGTAGCATGGAGTACCTTTTGTTGTGTCAGTTGTTAACTCTATGTTCCATAAATGTATTTTCTTAGTTATCTATATCATTTGTACATGACTTTAATATAAAGGAAACTAGTGAATAGTTGTTTCTGTACACAGACTGTTTACGGTGTTAAAATGTCAACTGGTTGCTGAAATCCCATTAGAAATAGATATGGAATGGAAAATCACCTTCAACTCACCTTAAATTCAAGAACAAATTATATAACTGCCATATCAATCAATGTTTTAATTCAAACGCTCATTTGTTAAAATTAGCAATTTGTTGTTTTACTGTGGGTCTTCATTTCCACACACAAAAAGCGAGGAATACTGTAGCAAGAATTATTCTTAGTTAAACACAAACTGTTATTTGCAGCTTTCTAAATATGCACGTTTTGTATGATATGCCCAGTGATGCTGAATATTATAAAGAGGAAAATTGCAGAAATGTATGAATATGCATAGAATATTTGATCATTCACAATATTCTGAATAAAGAGAAACGTTGTAAATTTGTTGAATTTTTATTTAAATCCAGAAATGTTGCTGCAATCCCATTGGGGATACTTAAATACATACAGCTAACAAGTTCACGCATCAGGATATAGGCAGTTACTTATAAATGCTGCAATGGATATTCAATTAAATGGGACTGTGAGTTAAAAATAAACAATTGATTAATTTAAAAACAAATTATTGCAGCAAAATCTATTTCAGAAGTTTTGAATGTGATCATATTTCTGCATGTCTTTATGTATGCAAGACTGAAAGACTGTACTTGTACTGAACTTCAGTTGTCCATGGAAGGTAAAAAGAAGAGGAGTAGAGCTGTGCAGGCAGTCCCTGGGTTGCGAATGAGTTCCGTTCTGGAATCTGTTTGCAAGTCGACTTGTACGCAAGTCAGAACACAATGCAGGACAATATACAGGAAATATTCGCATGTGGGATCTTTAAAATGACATCCTTGTATGAGATTGTGTTCATAAGTATGAGCATTCATAAATCAGATATTCATAAATCAGGGACGCCATGTACAAAAAAAGACAAGCAAAGGAGAAAGAAACTGCGTAGGGATCACAGAGAGGGAAATTGAGAGAATAATTGAGAGAAAACGGAAAGAGTGAAAACCAAGATGAAAAGAAATACAAAAAGGTAAAAACAAAAGAAGTGCATAAGCAAGAGGGTAGCTAGTGAAAGATACGCAATAAAAGAGAAACATGGGCTGAGATTTTGCATGTCAAGTATAAAACAATCGCACCTACCACTAAGAAAACGGTCCACACAGATTTAACAATCTCTATTGTAGAGATTTCCTTTTCCAGACTTCAGTTTAAATCCAGCACTTAGTCAAGGGGATCTCCAAGTGTCCATCAGTAACAATGTCAGTAAGCAGACTAAGTAGTCAATCACATTGATGAATTCTCACAGACAGCAAACTAGGACATTTTTTTAAAAAATGATTAGCCTACATTTTAATTACATTTTAAAAGAATAAAATAAATTATTCTGAATTCAGAAATAGAGTAAAATATGATAAATAAGGATTAACAATTTATTAAAATGTGAGTTATGTTTTTCACCATCATAGAAAAGTAGAAATTTCCAAGTTTATTATTAGTTTTTCACGGTCAATAGCAAAGTTTTAGCAGTAATCATGAAGTTAGTAGACTGTTGAAAATGCAGATCCATCTCATTTAACAAAGTGTAACCTTTCCCCAGGGTTTTTTTTACAGCAGAGCCTTGAGTTAGAAGTGGAGGTTTTCAGCATTTATCTGATTGATTGGGTACTGCACTCCAGGGGACCTTAATTCTGCCTTCTCCTGAGAAGTGTTGAATCACTGCTAGCAACTTCTGGATTTTCACATTATTTTGTGTATGTGTGGACTCGTCAGGATGCTGTCAGTTTAAGTGGAGTAATAATAGGCAATGTTCACAGTTTCACTGACATTAGTTCAGCAAATTTCCATCCATAAAAAAAAGACCAAAAGTTGAACAATCACTTATTAAAGAAATATATATTTTTCATCCTTGAGCCGCACCACAGGAAATAAACTCCATTATTAAATCAAATCAACTTGTTATTAAATAATTTTACAGTGTTCAGAATATTAAGCTGCTGTAAAAACATTTTCAAAAACTCTTACTGTTGTGAAATATTGTATGTTGAGATGAGATCACAAAATCCATTATGCAATCCGTACAACACTGGAGCTGTTGTTGCCAATGGCAGAGCACACCCATGGTAATTGTGCAGGGGCTGGGGGACAGGTCTCACACTTATTTTACAATCTAAGGCCCAATATTTCACTTAATGAAGCTCCCAGAATATGAAAATTGGAGGAAATAACAGTATGAAAATCTACCCTCCAGACTGATGATGATCAGAGCTCCTGCTCTAGACCAACAAAGCAGGCCAAATCTTTTAGGGAAGACAGGCACTTTACAACCCAGCAACACTGTGCGTTGAAATAGCCAAGCCAGATGGAACAAGTTTTCAGACATATGTAGAGTTGCAAATGTAAATGGATCCTTTTTTCAATGTATTTTTTTACTCTCCATGGAAAGCACAGTATGCAATGTAATTTTGTTCTATCTCAGTGTTGTACCTATTTCATCTCAAACATTGTTTGTGACATCTGCTGCAGGGCATAAGTGCAGTGAGTAATTTTTTTTATTCGTAGTTGCAATTTCTGCTTTAAAACTCTAATTGTTGCAACAAATGTCAAACAACCTTACTTGCTGAGCATGGAAGAGGTATGTTGTGGTAGCAGGTGTAACTGCTTGTAGAGCAACATAGCATTGGGAAAACGATGTTTGGATTCGTTGTGCAATCAAAAGCAAGTATCTATATTTTCACAGGTGTGGGGCAGGATGTCTATTCCACATTCCTATCATGGTCTTCCCTATGTTAAATGTTTGTAACTTTATGTATCGTTCTACAGTAATTTTATATTTTTACCTACACTTAAAGGACATGTTGTTGCACATTCTGCTTTTCACGTTTAGTGGATGAGGGATAAAAGCAAAATGCTGATACAATCTGGAGCTTGTAAACAGAAGAGATTGTGATTGAGGTGTGCCCCAAAGTGGAGATTCTGGCCTGTGAAACACCATGGTTTTTCACATGACATCTAATGCAGAGCATTTCCTCCACATTTAACATCAATCCTACCACTAGCTCTGTGCACAGTCAATTTGAAGAAAGGGAGATAGTGGCCATTGCAGTAGCATTTGAGGACACAATCAGGTTAAAATTGATCCCAATGTATCCTACCATCAGATCAAAATGTACAATCCTTCTTCAATCAGAAACTAAGAGCACAAATCTGAAAAAAATTAAGCAAAATGCATGAAAAATGGTAGGCTTTGATATTTAGATCTCAGCACAGAAAACTTCCATCTGCATAATGCACCTTTTCTTGTGACATTTTTCCTGAAAAGTCAAAGATATCATGAACTCAACGTTCAAGAATATTATATTCCACAGTCATGTGAGAACAATTAACTTTGTCTGTAACTGGAGAAAATGTATTGCAGTCTTGAATTTACTTAGAGATAAACCCAGTTAAGTTTTCCATGCGCTGAATATGCATTTTAAATTTTTGCTTTTCAGGCTGTTGATACTGCAAATAATTATATTTCTACTGATGTCCACCATTCACTAGTTCCAGGTGCATTACAATCAAAAGCATTCATTCCTCCGCACTGAAGAGGACTTCTGCCTTCAGTTAGATATTTATGGCTATGCAACTGAATCACTCTACCCTTTAACCACTTAGCTTCTGATTCTGAAGAAATTTGGTGCCTTTCCAACTCTTGTTGAAGGTTTCTTCATCCTCGCAGAATATAAATAAAGGAAATCTAAGAGTCTAAATATTTTTATAGACAAACATTTCTCAACATGATGGTCTCATGAACACAATGAAGATTCACACATGAAAGGATACTACCCAATTTATAGTTGAGTACAATTATGTGAACAGACTTACAACAACTATTGTGACAAATTCAAATTGTCATGCGCAATTTACTGCAAATACAAGGATTTAATTCTATAATTGAACTTAAACTATGAAGAAAAGTGACATCCATGCCCCCAAAATAGTATCTCTTTTCTTAAAAAAAACTCTGTGGAAACCTATGCTCACACTATTTCATAATAATAGAGCAGAAAACTATTACATAATTACCATGGCAAAAAGTAATAGTTTGATCTTATCTCAATATCTAACATACATTTTTATTGCTATTGCGTCTTCTCTGCTCACTCCAGAAAATGTTGACTCCTATTTGAGGTCTTCTGGTACTTTACACAAATGGATGTTATTCATTTTAAAGCCTTGATAGTGAGTGTCAACAGACCACTTACTTAAAACACAACTAATTGCAATCTTATTCAAATTCAATGCCCACATATGAACACTATTATGACCACATCAGATGGCTATATTGTGATAAAGGTTCATGAAATATGTTACAGTGATTCTTTGGAAACTTGGGTTCCAAAGTGAAGAAATGATGTATAGCTTTAAGTTTGATTTGTATTTCTATATGAGGTGTGTTAAGAAAGAAAGGACATAGCATTAGCTTCACTTTTGAATTTGTGAGTGATTATGG